CGCGCTCAGGCGGGCTGGTTCAGCTGCGGGCTGGCCGTTCCACCTCGCGCGCCTGTTGCAGGTCGGGCTGGAGTCGCGGTGGGAATGGAATTGGGCAACGATGGAAGAAGAGGGGCCGTTGTAGCCGATGGAACGTCCAGAGGGCGGATAGGAAGCAGAGCGAACATAGCCGCAACCAATTCTCGACGAACTCACGGACGTCGGAAGTCGCCCATTCCCTCGAAGCAATGCGAAGATTAATGCATTTTCAGCGAGCGAGGGCGCCAAGAGCCTGTCGAGTTCTCCCCAGATGGCCTACCAGCTCTTGATGGGTGGGCCCAGAAATTTTGCAAGACCCCAACGGCACCAAGAAATTCTATCTCCCCACAGGGCCTCAAGAGAGATTGCCAGAAATTCCTCGCCCCTCAGGGCGTCAAGAGGAGATCCCAATCTTCAACGCACTCATTCTTTGAGTCCTAGTAGCTCCAGAACCCCATAAATACGTCATTCTTTCGAGATTCGCTGTCAGGCCGAAGGTTTCGACTGACTGCGCTAGCCGCTAGAACAGAGAACAGCTACAGCGCGCCCCCCCCCGCCCTCGCGGCGGACAGCGTCGGATAATTCGCGTAGTCGGGGGGGGGGGGGTGGGGGGCCCTGGAGCCTGGGGCGTTGATCCCGATCGGCATAAGCCCGACACTTGCGCAAACGTCCAGCGGTGCCAGTGGGGGACGGGGGGGGGGGGGCGCGCTGCGGGACGGGGGATGAGCGGCGCGCACGCTGCAGCTCGCGCGGCCTCGCATGGAGCGCGCGCGCGGCATCGGGCCGACGGACCGAAAGAAGCAGCCGCGGGGGCGGCGTCCTGCAGGGCACAGAATGCAGATGAGGCCTAAGGATTAAGGGCGAGTCGGGTCGGGTCGTCGTCGCGTCGTCGTCGCCGCCACGGTCGTCGCCGCGGTCGTCAAAATCTCTGATCATATCGCCTCGCCCCCATCACCCCCCCCCTCCCCCCATCTACTCCAACGCGCGGCGCGTGGCGGGCCCTCACCACGCTAGCAGCCGCAAAATCGCGGTTAGTTTTGGGGTGGTGGCCGACGCGCATGCGAAGAAGGTTGCGCCTGCCATAGTGATCACTGCGGATCCCTGAACAGGGCGCGCAGAGCTTCCTGGAACATACACGCTCAGAGAAGCCGCCGCATACGGTGCAGATGTCAACGCTGCGATAGCGGGTCATCACGCGGCTGCTGCGTCACCCGAGCGCGCCAGCCGCGAGGGGCATGATCCGGCGGAAGTGCGGCGCGATCCACGGCGCGGTGGCAGGCCAGCCGAAGTCGTTGGCCTCGGACCCCCCGGGCACCTCCAAGGCTGGCCCCGCCGGTGTCGGTGGAGGCAGCCCAGGCTGCCCAGGCTGCACAGCGACAGGAGGAGGCTGCCCAGCGGTAGCGACAGGAAGTGCTGGGGGCGGGAGTGGGAGTGCGGCCCCGGCGCCACCCGGAGCTGCAGCGGCGCCCACAGGGCCTGCGGCCGCAGCGCCACCACCACCAGCAGCTGGCACACGAACCGCATGCTGGAACACGGCGGCGGCCCCCGGGGCGCGCTGGTCGTCGCCGCCGCCGCCCACCGCGACTCCATCTCCATTGATGGTCACGCCGCCCACCACGACTCCATCTCCATGAATGGTCACGCGAAGCTGGAGCTGGATGTGAATCGTCGTCGACGGCCCAGATGCTGCCATCGCAGCCATCGCGGCGAGCGTCGACGCCTGAGTCCGAGGCGGGGGGAGGTCGCCTGCTCAGGCCGAGGAGGAGTACAGCCGAAACACTGGACCTTCGCACTGCAGACGGCTGAGGCTGAGGCAGCGACGCCGACGGGCGGTGACGACGACGACGGGTCACGGGCCATGGGCCACCGGCCACTGGGGAGACCGTCGGACCGTCGGGGGGCGCCGCACGATGACTCATCTGCGAGGGCCCTCCGTCGGGAGGCCCCTCGACCACTCGGCCCTCCCGACGGGAGTCGACGGCCAGGGCCCGAGAATCCGATCGTATGTTAGAGCTCCAATGGAGCTGTAACATCGCATGTTAGATTATGTTAGAGCTCCCTGGGAGCTCTAACGTCGCATGTTAGAGCTCCGTGGGAGCTCTGAGGCGGCGGCGGCGGGTAGGTTAGAGCTCCCAGGGAGCTCTAACATAGCATGTTAGAGCTCCCATGTTAGAGCTCCCTGGGAGCTCTAACATACCGAGCTCTAACGGAGCTTTGTCATAGCATGTTAGAGTTCAGTGGGAGCTCCCTGGGAGCTCTAACATGGCATGTGAGAGCTCCGTGGGAGCTCTAACATGGCTTGTTAGAGCTCCAACGGAGCTCTAACATAGCATGTTCGAGTATGTTAGAGCTCCCATGGGAGTTTCTAAGGCGGCGGCGGCGGCGGCGGCGGGTTGGTTTAGAGCTACCGGGAAGCTCTAACTAGCATGTTAGAGCTCCAGGGGGGCTCTAACATGCTATTTTTCGAGGCTCCCATGTTAAGCTCCCCTGGGAGCTCTAACAATACCGAGCTCCAACGGACTCTAATATGGTATGTTAAGAGCTCCGTGGGAGCTTCCAAGAGAGCTCTAACATGGCATGTTAGAGCTCCGTGGGAGCTCGACATCCCATGTTAGAGCTCTCTGGGAGCTCTAACATACCGAGCTCAAACGGAGCTTTAACATATCATGTTAGAGCTCCGTGGGAGCTCCATGGGAGCTCTAACATGGCATGTTAGAGCTCCGTGGGAGCTCTAACATGCTATGTTAGAGCTCCCAAGGAGCTCTAACATGGCTTGTTAGAGCTCCAACGGAGCTCTAACATAGCACGTTCGAGTATGTTAGAGCTCCCTGGGAGCTCTAACATGGCATGTTAGAGCTCCGTGGGAGCTCGAACATGGCATGTTAGAGCTCCCAGGGAGTTCTAACATGGTATGTTAGCCTTGAGCTCTAACATAGGATGTTGTTAGGGATCCTTTGGAGCTCTATCGTGGCATTTTAGAGCGCCCATGGAACTCTGACATGCTATGTAAGATTTCCTTGGGAGCTCTGACGTGCTGTGCTAGATTTCGATGTGAGGGTTGTGAACCCTAACATGCTATGTTAGAGCTCGATGGGAGCTCTAGCATAGTATGTTAGAGCTCTCCTCGAGCCGCCCCCCCGCCGTCGCCGTCGTCGTCGTCGTCGTCGTCGTTGTCCCATCGGCCCCCCAACCCCCTCCTTTAAAGCGCACGTGAGTAAGGAAACATGTCCGAACACGGTCGCACTCTCGCACGCACCGTTGCCCTGCCCTCGACCTCGAGAACGAAGGCTTCCCCCTTGAAAGGCGGGGGCACAGGGGTGGGGGCTTGTCTTCGACCGCGGTGAAACATGGGGGTGGGGCCCTGTCTTCGACCACGGTGAAACATGAATAGGGCGCGGCCCTCCCCGCCCTCGCGGGGCGGCCTTGCCCCCTGGGGCGCGGTCGGGGATCAGGGGCGGAAGGGATTCAGGGACTTCTGAATTAGAACTAGAAGGTGGGGAGGAGGAGGAGGAGGGGGAGGGGAAGGAGGAGGAGGAGGAGAAAGGCTTCACCGCCCTCCACGCACCGCCGGCTTTCATCGTGCATCCGTCCCGTGCTGGCGAGCTCTTCACGGAAAAAAGTACCCACTCCTGGCGATATGAAGACACGCTTCTCGTTGAGCTCCGTAATGGGTGCTATGGCCAGCGATTGAAGCATGGCCGCCGTGGTAACCAAGTTGGCGCCGCTCCCAAGCGATATCCCCTTCGTCAACGCCAGAGGGGAGATCGATTTATGGCCGTGAGCGCGGTGTACCGCGATTTCGCTCTTGCCACGGAGGTTCAAGACCTTCGGGGCCATCGGAAAGAAAGGCGGCAGACCCCCGATAGAGCAAACTCGCCAACAACTTCTCGAGCCAAGCGAGACTACGTACAATCAGATGGTGCGGGCCAGGCAACTGGAAGACTCCAGAGCGGTTGTGGATACTTCAGGCCAGGGTCAGGATGAGCATTGGAAGAGCCTACTGGGGGGCCCAAGGATGAGCCAGCGCAGGAAGGCCTCAGCATAATTGCGCGAAGCTGCTGCGAGAAGCCTGATGGGGACTGTGACACGGGAATGCGGCGGCACGCCGCTGTGAGAAGACTTACACGACAACGCTACCCGTGCGAGAAGCTACTGCCGCAGACAGCGGCCCGCGTGAGGTCACTCGGTCATCCTTCTTCGTATGGTAGCTTGGGTTATTATGGTAGTTTGGTTTATTATGGTAGCTGGGTTTCTTAGGGTAGCTTGGCTTCTCATGGTAGTTTGGTATAGTATGGTAGCTGGGTTGATTGGCCTATCATGGCAGCTTGGTTTCTTTATATGGCATCTGTCCTGGCATGTTCGAGCCCCCACGGAGCTCTACCATGCGATGTTAGAGCTGCCAGGGAGCTCTAACATGACATGTTCGAGCTCCCAACGGAGCTCTAACATGCGATGTTAGAGCTCCCAGGGAGCTCTAAAGTAATCGAACATGCTATGTTAGAGCTCCCTTGGAGCTCCAACATACGATGTTAGAGCACCCAGGGAACTCTCACATCATCTAGCATGCTATGTTAGAGCTCCCAGGGAACTCTAACATAACCTAACAACATGCGATGACAGAGCTCCGTTGGAGCTCTAACATGTCATGTTACAGCTCCCTGGCGCCCTAACATCATCTAACCACCCTAAGGGCCTCAAGGGGAGACCCCAGAAATTCTATCTCCCCACAGGGCCTCAAGAGAGATTGCCAGAAATTCGTCGCCCCTCAGGGCGCCAAGAGGAAATCCCAATCTTCAACGCACTCATTTTTCAGTCCTACTTGATGCAGAACCCCAGAAATCTGTTATTCTTTCGAATTCGCTGGCCCGCTGCACGGGCGCACCGCGCGAGCGCGGCGAAGGGGCCAGCGCGCGAGCCAGGCTGCGCACCTCCGACACCGGCTACCAGACGCCCATGCGAGGTCACTTGTCCTGCTGCTGAGCTCACTGGCCCTGCTGCTTGTCCTGCTGATTGAGCTCCTCTACTTTCTGATCGAGCTCTTCGACTTTCTTCTGCAGGTCCTGGAGCGCCTGTCCCTGTGCCCGCAGGAGGTCCAGAATCTGATCCATCTTCTCGTCCATGTTCTGTGCCATAAGGTTTGGAGCAGCGTTGGTCAAGAAATTGAGCATCGTGGTGATAGCGGTGGTTAGCCCGTCTTGCTGCCACACGGGGAAGCCGGCTAGGAGGTACTCATGTATCATCTTGTTCCTCTCCCCCCGCAGCTTTAGTTCCAGAACTAACTTGCCGGGGTCCCACGCTGCGCCCTCGACCAGCGCCCAGCCCTTGTGGCGCGCGGGAATGGCCTCGTGCGGGGACGACAAGACGAAGGGTGGCAGGCGCTTCGGCTTGCTCTGCTCGACGACTGCGGCCTCCTCGGGGGGCAGCTTGGCGATGGACTTGTAACCTTTGGGCTGCTCCGCCGTCTGACCGACCTTTGCACGTAGTGGGAAGGCTGCCTTGGCTCTTGCAGCTATGCGGGCATTCGTCGTCTGTTCCGCCTGCCGCTTAAGAAGTTTCCCGCGCCCGATAGGCTCCTCGCTGTGCTTCATGATGGCAGAAACCGTCGTCGCCCGCGTGGCTGACCCTCGTGGAGCCTGGGATAAGAGCTGGCGCCGCTCAGCCTCCATGTGTTCCTGCCGCGCTCGCTCTGGCTCGGGCTTGTAGTGGTCCGCCGCTTGTCGCAGCTGCTCTCTCGTCACCGGCGGCGGCGGCGCGACCCTGCCCGATAAATCGATTGGCCGTGGCGGGCGGGCGGGCATCCGTTTCGGAAGTGGCTGGCCCTCCGCGGGCGCGTCACTGACCCTCTTCGCTGGCGCGCGCTTGGCCCACGGAGTCTTTTGTTTCCAATCGTCCTCCTCCTGCCGAAGCGGAGACGTGAGAGGAGCGCCCATCCCGCGCCGTGCAAGGCTTTCTGGCCGTGTCCGCGCCGCGACAGGAGCATCCCGCGCTGTGCTGCGGGCGCGCTCTCTGCCTCTACGGGTACGGTCACCAGCCTCTCGGGGGGAGTCGCTGTCGGAGATCACAATCGTGTGGTGCGGATCACCCGACTGCTCGGCCTGGGCCCGCGCCCTGTCGGCCCCCGACGGAAGCTCCGTCAGCCTGAGCCCGCTCCTCGCCGCCATCGGCGGGCCACTAGCGCCTGCGCCCTCGCGAGCTGTTGCTGCCTCTCGCCGCCCGCTTGACGCTGTTGCAGCCAACTGGCGCTGGCGCGGCGACGCCTCTCTCTGGCGACTCTGGGCGTTTGACAGGCGCCGCTGCTGCCTCACCCACCGCTGCAGATCCCACTGGTACCGTGCACAGTCTTCGATCCCAGTCGCCCCTGGCGGGTTCCGACGCTCCCAGTCTATCATCTGAGTGTTCCACCTGATCTCCTCATCGCTCAACTGCCTGCGTGCGGTCGCGTCCAGGCATCCGTAGGGTCTCTCCTGGCCCTCCCAGACTCCTGGACGGTCGAAGATCATCATGCCGTCATTGTCCAACTGCTGCTGCTTATGTTGGACCCAGCGCAGGCGGCGCTCATGATCCAACGCCTCATCGTGTTCGCCCTCCTGACGCGCTAACTTTATATTCAACTCGCACCGCTCCCTCTGGCTCCGCAAGCCTTTGCGCTGGTTGTGCAAGTAATCCCAGGTGCCGACCTGAAGATGGGAGCTCCGGAGAGCATGCCATGTTAGATCTCCATGGGAGCTCTAACATGTATGTTAGAGCTCCAATGGAGCTCTAACATCAACATGCTATGTTAGAGCTCCCAGGGAGCTCTAACATGGCATGTTAGAGCTCCCTGGGAGCTCGAACACAATGTAGCTCTAACATCCTCTAACCTGCCATGTTAGAGCCCCATGGGAGCTCTAACATGGCATGTTAGAGCTCCATGGGAGCTCTTATCAGACAGGGGGGGGGTACTACAGCTAGCCCAGATTTGGCTGGTCTGACCTGGCGCCCTTTGCCCTTGCCCTTGCGCGCGTCGTTGCCCTTGCCCTTGGCGCCCTTGCCCATTGCCAGCGCGCGCGCGGCGCGCGGGCAGAGCAGGGGTCGAGCCGACAGCTACGGAGACGAGGGAGACAGAGAGAGGGAGAGAGAGATCCCCAAAGTTTTCGGATGAGATCACTGCAGAGGTTTCGATGGGGATGGGAAGGTTGAACTGTCTCAGCTGTGGCAAAAGGGGGGGGGGATCATCGCTCTGGAGGTTTCGATGGAGATCGCTCGCATGCACGCGAACACGTAGGTGGACTGGGGGCTGGGCTGGACAAGTGCGGTGGAAGACGGCCTCGTCGCTACTCCTGCCTCGTCCTGCTCCCCCCTCCTCCTTCAGCCCCATCACCCCCCTCATCCCCCTCCTCCTGAGGGCGGCCCTGGGCGCCCGATGCTTCCCACCCCCACCCTCCCACCCTCGCCGCCGACAACCGCCGCCGCGGGCAACCGCAGCCCCCCCCCCATCGGCGACCTTCAGGCCCCCAGCGGCGGGCAGCGCCGCCCGCGGCAGCGGCGCCCACTGAGGGGCGCAGGGGAGGTAAGGTCGGACGACGTTGGGCGGCGCTCTTTTTCAACAAAACTGGCACGATCGCAATCTATGGGACGCGCTACTTACTCACGCTGTCACAGCCTTGGTGCCCGGGCACAGTGCTTCGACCGTCGCGTCGAAACGCAGAACCCAGTTCCTCGGGCTGTTGTAGAGCTGTTTGACGGCTTTGTCGACGCCCGCTTCTTCCCCCGAGCGGCACAGCACGCAAGTTCGCTGCGCCGGGCGGGGATTGGCCTGCTTCTTGAAGAACTTGCAGAGCTTCCTGGGGCTCCTGTAATAGATCACACACCCACTCGGCGTCTGGGCAAGCGCTCGCAAAACGTGGGGCAGTGTAGGCAGGTCTTCCGCGAGAGCCTCTGTTACAGCCACGTGGTAGCTCTTGCTCGAGTTCCGAAGCTTCTCCGTGTACTGGATGCCTTTTGGAGAATCCTCCCGTGCAAAGTCAGTCGGCGCTGTGAAAAAAAAAAGCTCCCGTGAACGCTGCTACCATCTGGGCGGCGATGCAGTAGTCGGTGTCAGCTGTTGCCGCCAAGACTACGTTCCCCTTCTTCCCCTGGGCCGCATGACGGGCAAGATAGTCCAGGAAGTCCACCGGGCCCTGAAACACCTTGAAACGCAAGCGCTGCGCCTTGTTGCGAGCGCCCGCATCTACCACGCGAGCCAGCATGAGCCCAGCGGGGCGCGGGGGGGGCAGCAAGTAAGCGTCGCGGCCCGCAGCCGGCCTGGCACTGCGCAGGACTTTCTTCCCTCGGGTACTCCTGGCCTTGGCGGCGGCCTTCGCCCCTCCAAGATTGCGCTCTCGGATCTTGGCCTCCCGCTTGGCGACGGCGGCGACGACTTTTGCAGCGGGCCCGACTGGATCTGCGCCGCTCGCCTGGGCCGCCCCCTGAGCCAGCGCAGCGAGATCGGGGGCGCCCTCCGCGAGAAGGCGGGCGCGCTTGCTCGGGGAAGCGGCCGCCATGGCGTCGACGGCAGCTGCTCGCCTGCGCCCGAAGCCTACCTCTGTCCGACGTGCTGCCCCAGGCTCCCGCGTGCTTCCCTTGTCGCGCCTCTCGGCCCTCCTCAGCGGCACGATCTTCCCCTGCGCGACCTCACGTAGCTTGAGCACATGCCTGTGCCAACGACTGGCGGCAGAGCTCTCGTTGTCGCCCAGCCACGCGCGCAGCAACCTGCTGGAGGGCGCCTGGTCCACGAGCGTGCACTCCTCGACGGACGCGTCGAGGAGCCGCGCCCTCTCGGGGCAATGCGCCTCCGAGAAACGGCGGAATCGCCTCTCCACGTTGCCCGTGCTCGTTTTCCATGCAAGGAAGAGCTCCACCAGGCGACGGCCGCTGGGGAGCTCGGGCCACTCCACCGCAGCGCGGCCCCAGGCCTGCCGCGCGGCGCCCCCGTCTCGATGATGCACCTCAGCACGCAGCAACATTTGCCGCAGCTGGGAGATTGCCTCCTGCTCGGGGAGGTCTGCCGCCTGGCAGATGCGCTTCGAACAGGCCTCGGCTTCTGCTGCATGCTCTGTTGCAGACGGGGACAGGGGGAAAGGCGAGCGAAAGGCTGTAAAGGCATGCAACCAAGAACGATCTGGCCGATATAGCTTCGTGTTCTCCTTCACATTGGCCACGATCCCCTGCGCTCGTCGCAGGGCCGCGTGGGCGGCTTCGTGGGCTCGGGGCTCCGTTCCCCAATCGCCGATACCAACGGTCTGGACGCCAGTGCCGCACGCAAACCGCTTCGTGGCCTTCGGGAACCTGAGGGTGACGCCAGTAAACGTGTTGGGGATGGCCAGAATACTCCCCTGGACGAACAATGTATGCAGCTTGGAGAGGAAAGCGGCGGCCCAGGATTGAACTCTGGCAGCGTCGGGGTTGCTATTGTCCCCGGTGGCGACCCAGGAGTAGTGCTCCGCGCTCAAGTCGGCCAGCAACGCCCCCAGGAGCAGGCGCGAACTGTTCTCGCCCCCGAGCCCTTCCAGAATCTGTCGGGCGAGAATGCGCCGATCTTTGTCCTTCCCCTGGGACCCCGCTCCGAGCGCCTCGAAAATGACTTCCCAACGCCGACTTTCCCGTGCTAGGGGCCTCGCCCGACTGTTGAAACGCTGGGGGGGCCCAGCCGAAGTTTTTGACGAACGCAATGTCGTCTTCCACCTGCTGCTGCTCCCCGAGTGTGTTGCGGAACACGGTGGAGGGTCGGGAACTTGGCCAGACTTGGCGGCTTCTTACCCGTTGCCAGCAGCTCGTCCGCGGCCGTTATTTCGCTGTCTCCTTTCATCGAATTGGCCAGAACCTTCTGGGGCGAGCGAGACTCGTCCCACGCGTGAAACGCCAGCCCAGGGAACGTAGCTGTCGCAGCCAGGGGTGCACTTAGATCCGCCCCATCGCTGCACCATGCCCGAGTCTCCTGTCGCACATGCTTGTGCAAGTCCCCGTCCAGCTCCCGGCCTGCCGTCTGGCACGCGCGACGGACGCACTCCTCCAGCATGGGAGCCTTGCCGTCGCAGTCCATGCCCCGCGGGGACTCCCGCGCCCCGATCGCCCGATCCACGATCCAGGGCCCTCTGGGGCCCAGCTGTTCCAGCCAGCCTGCCTTGAGACCGTAGCTTGGGAGGAAGTCCAAAGCCTTCGGGATCGACCGCAGCACGGTGCCAATTTCGACCTGGTACGTGCGGTCGAGGCCGTCCGCAGCCAAACGAAAAACAGCACCATGTTTGAGGATCCTCTGCGTGATGATCTTCTCGCGCTGAGCCATGGTGGCCACCAGCCTTCGGCGCTGCCGACTAGACTCCAAAACTTGGCGGTCGCCCCCAACGAACGCATCCCGCCACGCGTCGAAACTACTGAAGAAACTGGTTGCCTCCGACATTGCACGGGTGGCGACCGCTGCGCGGCAACCAGGGCGCTGGTCGGCGGTGCGGACGACGGCGGGCGTAGGCGCCACGGCTGTTGCAGCTGCTGCAGCTGACGCAGCCGTCGTGGGGGACACAGACACGGGGAGACCCTGGTGTGCACCTTCCGCTCGAATCCGCTCTTTCCGCGCCGCGTCTGCTGCCTGGTGCCCCTCGCACTGCGCACGGCGCACGAGGTTCTCCTTGCGTTGGAAACTCGCGGATCCCCGGCCGATGGTGGAATAGCAGCGAGCGCCCTTGAACGCCGAGCAGAACAAGCAGACTGCACATCTACCACCTACGCAGCCTATCCTAGTCTCGCTCTTCAGTGTTACTGGATTCGTCGCAGACATCGAGGCGCTCCACTTATCTTTGTTCTTCCAAAATTTGCAAGCGCCGCAGGTGGAGACGTGCTTTGGGCAGTCGTGGCTGGCGACGTGCTCCTCCAGGGTCATGGACAACGAAGGCGGGAACTTCTCGACTACTTTGCTCGGGGCGGCCTTCGCCTTCGCTCTTGCAGCCGCAGCTGCCTCGCTGCTGGAGCCGCTGTCCTCTTCGGAGCCGCTGTCGGAGCCGCTGTTGGAGACGCTGTTCTCTTCGGAGCCCGCTGCGTCGGCAACTCCGTCGGCGCCGTCGGCGTCGGACCCTACGTCAGCATCGGCGTCCGAGCTGTTGCAGCTGCCACGGCTTGGCGAAACTGCCCTCGACGAGGCCGCCGAGGCCGCGCGGCTCGACGGGGCCGCTCTCGACGAGGCCGCACGGCTCGAAGAAGAAGCAGGGCTCGGGGAAGCATGGCTCGGGGAAATCAAAGGGGAGGACGAGGCCGCAGGGCTCGGGGAGGCCGCAGGGCTCGGGGAAACCGAAGGAGGGCTCGGGGAAACCGCCCCAGCGGACGACGACACTATTTTGAGCCAAGTCCTACGGACCACAATTGTGACGATGGTGATGGTGATGGCGATGCTGATGGTATGGATGGTGATGATGATGATGATGATGATGATGATGATGATGATGATGATGATGATGATGATGGGGATGGTGATGATGGTATGGTGAGGGCGAGGGCGTTTGTGATGGTGATGATGGTGATGGTGATGATTGTGATTTTGGATGTGATGAGCACCACCATCATCACCATCACCATCGCCACCACCATCAGCACTACGATTTGATAACCACCATCATTACAATCGTCGTCGGCATCAAAACACAAAAACACTCAAACGACTCAACCTAAATCCGCCCTAAATCAAGCCAGGCAAGAGTACATCGAACAGCATGGCATGGACAGGTTCGTCAAATCCGCGTTTGAATCTTACGGCCGCCAGCTTCGAAATTGGTGGCCGGACACGCTTCACAAAAGGTGTAGTGACTTGCCGCATCCAGGAATGAACGACGATGGCAGGAGGCAGTGCCTGGTGACGTTCCTGGTGGACCCTACGTCGGGCGGGTTCCCCCAGGAGGCTTTTTTAGACGACGGCGGCGGCCCGCCGGCGAAGGTTCCGCGAGTGCGCGAGGCCGGCAGCGCGGCGGCTGACACAGAGGCCCCCGCCGCAGCGTTTGCCACGCCTATGAAGGCTACACCGACGAAGGACATTCCAACGAAGGCCCCGCCCATGCAGACTTGCACTCCGCAGCGGCGATAACATCGACGACGACGAGTGCGACGGCGATTACGACGACGAATACGACGCCCAGTACGACGACGAGATACGACGACGACGACGAGTACGAAGACGACGAGTACGACGACGAGTACGACAACGAATGCGACGACGAGTACGACGAGTACGACGACGAGTGCGACGAGTACGACGACGACGACGCTCAGTACGCTCAGTACGACGACGCTTGCTTGTCTGGTTGGTCTGGTTGGCGTGGTCTGGTTGGTCTGTTCTTGTTGGTCTGGTCTAGTTGGTGTGCTTGGTTGGCCTTTCTGGCTCGTGTGGTTAGTCCGGCTGATTCTGGCTGCGGTTGTTGGTATGACTGATATGGTTGGTCTGGCTGGTCTGCTTGATTGGCCAGGCTGGCTGGTCTGATTACTTTGGCTGGTTATGGCTGGAACGAATGATCTGGCTGGTCTGGTCAGTCTGGCTGGTCTGGTTGGTCTGGCTGGTCTGGTCAGTCTCTCGTCAGGATGGCGAAGCGAGATGTGACATGGTTTGTTAACACATGTGACATAAAATAAGTATGTGGGGTTCCTCGGTAGCGTAATTTGTGTCTTGGGCTGTCTGGGAAGATTTTTGGGGGGTATCGGGAGCGTCGGGGGGGGGTCTTGTGAACCAAAGGGGCTTCCTGTTGGGCCTGAGCCCAGGGCTGGAAATGTCCGTTCGGCCCCCGCCTGGACCGCTGGGCTTTCGGGGGCCTCTTTCCGGCCTCCTGGATGCTGCTTGGGGCCGCCTGGGGGCCCCTTCGGCTTTCTTGGGGGCCTCTTGAGGCCTCCTTGGAACATCCTGGACTGCTTCCTGAAGTCGTAATGGGACCTGCTTGGCATTTCTTCGGGGGCCTCTTCGAAAGCATTTTGAAACGTTTTGGGCGCCATCTTGAGGCCTCCTGGAGCCTCTTTTGGGCTTCTCGGGGGCCCCAAGATGCCTCTTGGGGCCTCTTGGGGGCTTCCTGGGGGCCTCTAGGGGCCTCTTGGGGGCATCTTGGGGCGGAGAGCTTGATTTTTCAGTTCGCGTTCCCTCTCTTGGGCCCCTTTTGGGGCCGTCTTGGGGCCCTCGTGCGCCGTCTTGGGCGGCTCTGGGGCCGTCTCGGGGCTCTCTTGGGCCGTCTTGGGACCCTCTTGGGGGCCTCGAGCGGTCTTGGGAACCTCTTGGGCGGTGCTTTAGCGCCGGAAATGTGAAACAGCGAGAATGCAAAAAACATTGAAAGAACAAATGAAAATCAACGATTTTGCCCTCTCGGGGCGGTCTCGGGCGGCATCTTAAAGGCCTCTTGGGGCGTCTTGGGGGCCTCCGGGGCAGTTTAACACGCATCGTGCGTCGCCAGAGACCCCTGGAAGGCGTGTTGGGGGTGTCTCGAGACCGTCTGGGGCCGCCGGGATTGCTGACTGTGGCGCCGTTCGGGAAGCCTCGCTGGCCGCCCAATGAGGCTCTTGGGAGCCGCCTTTGGGGGCGGCACGGGGCCGTGTTGGGCCGCCCTGGCGACCCGCAGCTCCTGGGAGGTCTTCGCAGAAACGTATGAAGGCTGTTGCGCCCGATTGAAGGGCCATGAAAGCGGACCAGCCCAGGTTGAGCCCAAACCCACCAGCCCCTAGGGCGCAGGTGGTTTAGGACAATGTTTGGAACAGTATGTTTTAATTTTCCCCCTGTAGAGGGACAGGCCCGACTTGATACCAACGCTCGTTTACGGCGGCATTGGGAGAAGGACGACGACGTCAACGACGACGGCGACGTCCAAGATGATAAGCTGCTGCTGGTGATAGGACGACGGCGTCGACGACGACCAAGATGATGATATGCTGCTGCAGACGGTGCTGCTGATGCTGATGTGATGACATAATGCTGGTGATGAAGCCGAGGGAGGATGAAGGGAGGATGGAAGTACGATCAGGCATAAGTAGAGAGGGAGGGAGGAGGTAACGGCGGAGTAGGAGAAGGAGAATGAGGTCAAGGAGAGGCCTGGGGGGAGAGGAAGGACAAGGAGCGTGAAGAAGACCCATATGATGATGAAACGTAATGGTCATCATGATGGTGATGATGATGATGAGTGTGCTGCTGATGATGATGATGATGATGATGATGATGATGATGATGATGATGATGATAATGATGATGATGATGATGATGACGATGACGATAACGATGAATATTATGATGCTGGCGATGAAGATGACGATGACGATAACGATGACGATGATGATGATGATGATGATGATGATGATGATGATGAGCATGAGGATGACGATGCTGCTGCTGATGATGATGATGGTGATGATGCTAATGATGATGATGATGATGATGATGATGATGATGAGGAGGAGGAGGAGGAGGAGGAGGAGGAGGAGGAGGATGAGGATGATGAGGATGATGATGAGGAGGAGGAGGAGGAGGAGGAGAAGGTTCGCCACGGGCATGTCGGGCTCGGCCTCCATGGTGACGGGCTCTGGGGTCGCGAGCCTCGCTGCGAGAGGAGGGGCGGCGGAAGGAAGGCGTCATCCTCCCAACTGGGCCATTATCCTCCTCCTCCTCCTCCTCCACCTCATCCTCTTCCTCTCCCCCTTCCTGCACCTCCTCCCTGTCCTCCTCCTCCGCATCCTCCCACCCTCCCCCATCCCGCCTCCCTCTTCTCCCCCCCCCCCCCCCCGGGAGGCAAGAATCACATGTTCGTGTTCGGTTGTCGACCGCACATAAAAAGACGCCCCGGCTTCCCCACCCTGTGGGACGCTGGAACGCCGAGAGTCCGGCCACCCCGAAGCCATCCTCCCCGGCGCGCGGTGCGCCGATAGAGCCCTACCCGCCCCCCCTCCGCCTCTTCCCCCACGTGCTGTCGCCGCTCCTCCTCCCTCGATCCCTCCCCCTTCCTGCCGCTCCCCCACACGGGCGGCTAACGAGGAGGAACGAGGAGGAAGGAGGAGCGAGGAGGAAGGAGGAGGGAGGAAAGCGGGAGGGAGCAGCACAAGGCCACAGCGTTGAGGAGACGTGTGCGCGGACGCGTCTTATCCTCCATTCCTTTTCCTTAGCAGTCACTCCTCCCTGTCGCGCCCCGAGGCCGACCGAAAGGGCGTGGCGGGTGGTTCGCCTTAGACTTCCTCACCACTAAGGACCCTGAACCCCAGAACTCTGCAAGAGCTTCACGGATTCAGGGCGGTTGATTTTCAAAATGTGGCTCTGGCATTGGCGCTGCGCACACTCGGGTCCAAAAGGTGGGTGGTTTTCAACATGTGGCTCTGTCATTGGCGATGCGCACATTCGTGTCCAACAGTTATAGAATATTTCACGGGTTGAGGGCTTGTCGGATTCAACACGTAGCTCTCGCCATAGCGCCGCGGTTTTAAACTTTGCAAGAGTTCCACGGCTTCAGGTCAGCTCCCTTTCAACATGTGGTTCTCGCCTTAGCACCGCGCACATTCGATTTCACATTTGCGAGAATTGCACAGGTTTCCATTGTCTGCGTACCAGACATGGCGCTTGAAGACTTCAAGAATTTGCGGTGCTGAAATCCCAGGGATGTTGTTCTGGCACGGTTCTGGATCGTCAAGACGCAACAGGAAAAATGACTCGTGGCGTCCCGAAAATGGTGTTCGTGTATGCTTCAGGGTCTTCAAACAGTTATCTCCCCACGTGGCAGATCCCTCAGTGGACATGAACCCTTGTAAGGGCCTATGCAGAGAGAGCTTGACGGGAGGGTTTTATATCAGTTCGTTGATGGGCCTTGGGTTTACACTGGTCCTCCTCTTCCTCCTGCTCCCGCTCCCGCCTTTCGTTGCTCGGACGTTGGCGAACGAGGCGCAGCAGTGTCTTGGCCGCACGAAACAAGAAACGCTCTCGACTTAGGCCATGTGGCCGCATTGTCAGATAAAGGAGGATCCCCGCCTCAACCGCCCAAGTGGGGTCCGAGCTGATGAGGTCGGAGGATCGTGCCCAATCGCCGATGCATCACCGATGCGTGGGCAACGGCGACGCTGGCGCGGAGAGCATCGGGCTCCACATCGAGACGCCGCGCCGCCGAGGCATCGGCGATGCTGGGCGATCCTCCGACATCATCTGCTTCGACCCCGTTGGGCGGCCCGGAAGCCTTGCCGCCTCCCCCCGCCTTCGCCTCCGCCGCTCGGGTCGGCGCGAAACTGGAGGGACAGTACAGAGCAGTTTGTAATACATAGGTTTGGTAAAAATATACGATTTTAATACATGATGAATTTACCAATAAATCAATGCATAGATTCATAATTGCTTGTAATACTGACTCATTATATCTTTAATACATGATCCGCACGCGGAGCATGTATTAAAAACGGCCCTGTACACCGGAGGCCAGTCCACAAGAAACCCAACCCTGAGACCCCAGGGCGTTTTTTGACTCTCGGAACGAGAACGTCACGCTTCCCATGGCAAAACCATCGGAGCCCAAGAAACCCAGGGCACCCCGGAGGCACGCAAGTCTTTTCTTGGCATGGGTTCGGCGGTGGACAAACCTCCCTTTAGTAGAACTCCCCTTAGCGACAACGGCCTGGGACCGAAACCGACGGACCTGGGCCCGCAGAAAGGACGACCGCGACGCCCTCTCGCGAAACGACAACGGCCAATTCCTTAATCGGCGCGTCAGGGTAGGAGGTCTGTCCACCCCCGATGGGCCTCCACCTGGCCATCGCTCGGACGTCCATTCCCTGTGTTTTTTTTATCGGTCTCGTGCGTGTTTTTTTTCGCCAAGTGATAAGAAGGATGCTCCTCGATGGCCCTCGCCGATGGAAAAATGCACACGTCCGAGCGATGCCCAGCCACTGTAGCGACGCCGCTCGCGTGGTCCACCGGCCGCCCCAGCCCTCCCCCGCGCCGAGGGCGCCGACGCATATCGAGGAGAGCGCCCGGCGGCGGCGGAGAAGGAAGGGGCCCCAGGACACACAGATAAATACACACACAAATAACATGATTCTGTCTCCCCCCCCACTTCCCATATTTTCCCATATTCTCGGGGGAATCGAGGATTCATTGTGTCTGTGTGTTTCTTTTCCTCCTTAGAGAAGGACACCAGCCGCACTCGCAGCACCTCGCCGCCGGGCTCCTGTGCAGGGCGTTCTTCCAAGCAAGCACATCGCCTCCGGCACCGCCTGCTTCCAGGGCGTTGCCCTCTCTTGGCCCTGACGTGGGGCCCCTCCTTTCGCCTTCCCCCCTCTGTTTTAATGAAAGCTGTGCGCGGCCCGCTTATAGCTTCGACCGGAAGAGGTGTGCTCTCGACCCGCGGATCAAAAAAAAAACAGAAGGGAAAGCACTGTGTAGGGGCCTCCTGGACGGGTGGGGTCGGCGGGACACGCCGCATCGCCACTGCATCGACGGTGCGTCGGCGATGCATCTGCGACGCATCGCCGACGTCGGCGACAATTTCGCCGACGTCGGCGCGGAGAACAAATCGGGCTGCACATCGAGCCGCATCGCCGATGCATCGGCGATGCGGCGCGATCCTCCGACCCCACCTGCTCGGGTTGGCGGCGCGCACAGGGGGGCAGGGGGAGGGGGGAAGCCTTCTTAGAAGCAGGGGGTCCTCTAAGGAGCCTTCCCTCCTCCCCGTAGTGCACAATGCTAAAAAGGAGCCCAGAGACGCACAAATAAACGCACAAAAATCCCAGGATTCCCGAACCTTCCCATATTTTCTGGGTCTTCGCCTTCCCCCCCCCCCACTTCACATAATTAGCTTCCCACATTTTCCCGAGAGTTAACTCGCCATCGCTCGGACGTCCATTCCCCGTGCATTTTTCGATTTCGTGCGTGCATTTTTCGCCAAATGATCAACACTGCTCCTCAATGGTCCACGCCGAGAAAAAATGCACACGTCCGAGCGACGCCAAGTTAACGATTCATTGTGTCTGCGTGCTTCTTCCTCAAGAGGGCCTCTCGAAGTTACGACATACACACAAACTGCTTGCGCTCTGCGCGGATTTCTTAGATCTGCGCCGGGCCCCCCTCCCTGGCGCGCTCCGCGCGCCAAGGGCGGCGCCGGAGGCGCCGCCGGGGTGTGTGTGCCCGGCGGCCCGGCGCCGATCCAAGAAATGCGCGCGGAGCGCCAACAACTTATGTTTATGGCGTTTTTTCTTCGAAATTCGTGTCGCCCGGTCTTGAGCAGGGACCGACCGTCCTGGCATTCCTATAGTCATACCACGAAATGTTCGTAGAACCCAAAAATGTTCTGAGAACAAAACCAATGTTCTTAGAACGTAAGCCCGCTGTGTAAAAAACAAGACAGTCCCAGCCAGAAATGCTCTAAGAACAGTTCCTGGAAACCACAAACATTGCTTGGTAGGGCTATAGGCGAGCCAGGACGCTTCGCCACTGCTTGACGGTCGTGGCCCCCCCTCTTCGTGTCCCCCGCCTCTCGTCCGGCCCGGCCGCCCTCCTCCGCCTCCTCCTGCTGGGCTGGGCGCGCCCCCCTGGCGCACTCGAGCTCCTCGGGGCTCCGCCCCCCCCCATCCTGCCCCCCTCCCCCCCCTCCTCCTGCTGCTCCTCCACCTCCTCCTCCTCCTCCTCCTCCTGCTCCTCCTGCTCCACCTGCTCCTGCTCCTGCTCCTGCTCCTGCTTCTGCTCCTGCTCCTGCTCCTCCTCCTCCTCCTCCTCCTCCTCCTCCCCTTCGCCCCTCCCGCCGCCGCGGCTGCCTGTGCGGGTCCTCTACAGTCGGACCTAGGCCGTAAAAACACCCATGAACACGAGACTCTCCGCCGGTCACACCACACAGAACGTCCAAGGGTACCCTCCCGAGGATGCACAAGAACCTCTCACAAGCACGAAGAACATTGGGGTACCCTCCCCAAACCGACCTTGATCTTATACCTCGGTCCGACTGTACCCCATCTACCCCCGCCCCGCGTTCTCTCAGCCCCTCCTCTCTCCTCACTCCCAGCTCCGCTCCTCGCACGCCTCCTCCCTCCTCCATCTCTCCACCCTCGCCCCTCCCTCCATCCCTCCCTCCTATCTGCTAAGCAATCACTGCTGCAACTAACCATGTGAGGATGAGTGCAGATCATTCCAATAATTGAGCGAGCCACCCTTCCCCCCCTCCTCCCTCCTCCCCCTCCTCCCCTCCCTCCCCCCATCCTGCGCATCCCCCCCCTCCTCCTCCTCCTTCTCCTCCTCCTCCTCCCCTCCTCCTCCTCCTCCTCCTCCTCCTCCTCCTCCTGCTCCTGCTCCTCCTCCTCCTCCTCCTCCTCCTTCCTCCTCCTCCTCCTCCTCCTCACCCTCCTCCTCCCCCTCCTCCTCCTTGTCGCCCTCGTCATCCGCATCCCCTCCCCCCCCCCTGTTCCTCCTCCCCCCATGACTGGCGGTCCTGTCGTAGGCCCAGGCGGGCACGTCCATGTCCTCGCGTATGAGGATCTTTTTTGCTCAGCCAGCGGTCATCGACCACAGAGGGGAGAGAGGAGGAGGAGGAGAAGGAGGAGGAGCAGGAGGAGGAGGAGGAGGAGGAGGAAGCGGAGGATGGCGAGGAGGAGGAGCAGGAGGAGCAGGAGGAGGAGGAGCAGGAAAAGGAGCAGGAGGAGGAGCAGGAAGAGTAGAAGGAAGAGGAGGAGGAGGCGGAGAAGGAGGAGGAGGATGGGCGAGTCCACGCCCGCCGGGGGGTAATGTGGACGAGAACGGACAGGGATGGACAAGACGAATGGGGGAGAAGGGAGGAGGAGAGGAGAGAGGAAGGGATACTGGGGAGGAAGAGGAGGGGGAAAGGAGACGGGCGAGGACCCCGTCCCAAGTCCTCGCCCGCGCAGCCAGGCAGGGCAAAAAACTGAAACATCGGGGCGACGAACAGCTGGGCGCTGCTGAGCAGATTCGTGTTGTGCTCCTGACGGGGCAGGCAAACTCGTTACGCGCTCTCCACTTCCTCATCCGTCTCGTTACATACAGTTGGGGGCCCGACCACAAGAAACCCTGCACAAGAAACCCAACCCTGAGACCCCAGGACGTCCTTCGATTTTCGGTGCGGGAACGTCACGCGTTCCATGGCAAAATAATCGAAACCCAAGAAACAGAGGGCACCCTGGAGGCAAGCAGGGTGTTTCTTGGTACAGTGAGGGCGCGGCCGCAAGAAACCCTCGCAAGAGACCCGACCCTGAAAACCCGCGCGCGAGGTGCGCCTGAGGGGAATCCGGGAGCGCCCTGAAAACGCAGCAGCCTCTCCAAAACGGCGGCGGGAAGTCCCCGCGCCGCGGGCGGAGCGGAGAAACCCAGGATATACCCGGGCGAAAAGCGCATGGCTTCTTGATGCGCGCCCCCACTATATGGCTCCCACTGTGCATGGGCCCCCTGACCTCTCCTCCCCCTCCTCCTCCTCCTCCTCCTCCTCCTCCTCCTCCTCCTCCTCCTCCTCCTCCTCCTCCTCCTCCTCCTCCTCCTCCTCCTCCTCCGCGCCCCCCGGAGCGCGGCGCGCGGCCCCCTGCGCGCCCTCGCGCCCTCGGCCCCCCCCCCCCCCCCCCTGGAAGGGGCGCAGCCGCGCGGGCACGGACAAGCGGCGCGGGAAGCGCGGTGAGCTTCGCGCCCCCGCGGGGGACCTCGGGCCCAGGCAGCCGAATGGTGGGCCAACGCTCCACCGGCACCACCATATGTAGGACGGGGGAGAAGGGAGGATAAGGAGGTCCTCCTCCTCCTCCTCCTCCACCTCCACCTCCTCCTCCTACACGTGGTAGTGGTGGTGGAAAATGGGCCCATCACCGAGGATACGATGTCTGCTCCAGTGCGCGGCCCTCAGGGTCCCGACCCTTTCCCCAGGGTGTAGCTGTTCGCCCCTGCTCCATGTGTGGTGGCCCCGAGGCCCGATGACGGGCCCCAGAGGCCCAGATCGAGGAGGAACGCCCGAACCGAAACAGTACCTCTGAAGGGGCCCTGGGATACACAAATAAATACACACAAATAAAAGGATTCCCAATATTTTCCTATATTTGCTGGGTTGTTGTCTTCCCCCCACTTCCCATATTTTCCCATATTGCTGGGGATCGACGATTAATTGTGTCTGTGTGTGTTGTTCCCTCCTGAACCTCTGCGACCACCCTCGTGATGAGAAGGAGGTTGTGTTCAGGGGTGGAGGAACCACCGTCACACTCAGTCGATCGAACGGTCGATCTCACTACACTGCACCAGAGCATCAGCGATACCAGCGGAACCAGGCGGCATTCATGTGCCCTCGCGCTCGTTCCTTTCGAAGAACAGAACAAGAGCACGCAATGACTCGGGGCACTAAGACACACCACGGAGCACCACTGTCGATCCCTCTATTGCTCTAGGTGGCATGTATTTGCCCAGTACCTTTTCTCTTGAGGACGTACTACCAAAGTACAGGGCAATCTCCTTGGCCACCTGTCACTCTCAATCTGCCTATCGATTCCAGTATCGATCACACTGGCGTTCTCCCTTTCTCTATCGATCTCACTATCTATCGGTCTCACAGTCGGCCTCACTATCGGTTGGTCTATCAATCAAACAGTCGATCCCACGATGGATCTCACTATCGATCTTGCAGTCGATCTCACGGGACACCAAAGGACACGATGTGACACCGCGCCACGGGAAAAAACGGGACATCACGGGACACTGGCGGGACACCCAGGACCACCGCCAACCAACAGGGGCGGTAGAGTAATTGCTGGGCTCAGTTTCGCCCTAGCAACGGCGGGACATCGGCGGGACACCCCCCGGGCCACCGCCGGCCAACTGGAGAGGTAGTCATTGGACTCAATTTCGCCCTTGCAGCGGTGGGTTCATTCCTCTCACCCGCCCACGCAGCTTGGCATCGCCCGCGCGCACGACTCGATCACGAAACAGAAACTGGTTCCCTGGTGGGGGGTCTCCGTTTCACTTCGAACTTCCCCCCCAACCTCCAACATATGGTCGGACACCCAGAGATCCGATGTTGTGATTTTCTCAATGCGCGGTCGAGAAAGTCTCGACCCTTTCCCAGGACCGGTTGTTCATCCCGAGTCGCTTCTTGACGGCCCCAGGCCCAGCGAGGGCTCCTAGAGGCCGAAACTGCGAAAAACCTCCGCCTTGATTTTCTCGATGCGTTGGATCTCTGGGCCCCAAATCTCGGGAGCGGCCAAGAGGGGGGTGTCCAAGGGGGGGGGTGCAAATCATGACCCGCGGCATGTGCGCGGCCCAGCGGGGGGGCCAGGGACGCAATGAAAATCGCCGACCCAACGGGCCAGAGGCGTGCTAAGATCTCCGGTAACTGGTTAACAATATTTCTAGTTTTCGCGCGCGGAGCGGCCCCTGGGGGCCCCTGGACGAAAAGTACCTCGGCAACCAGCCGGGAGAAGCCACAAGAGCACTCAGGGGAGGGCAATTTTTCGACACCCCTCACGAGGATCGTGGCCTCCGAGGGGGGAGCCGCACTCGACTACCCCCCCTCCCGCCCCAAGAGGCCCCCAAAAGCCCCCCAAGAGGTCCTGGGGGCCCCCAAGACGCCGCCAAGGAGCCCCAAGAGACTCCCGAGAGGTCCCCAAGAGGCCCCCAAGAGGCCCTAAAGAGGGCTCCAGGGCCGGCGGAAGGAGCGAAGCGATGAAATGAGAAGAGGCGCCATGAAACCTGGGAAATATCATGGCTCCCGCCATGATATCCCCCCCCCTAGTCATCACCCCCCCCCTAGTCATCACCCCCCTAGTCATCACCCCCCCAAGACGCCGCCAAGGAGCCCCAAGAGACTCCCAAGAGGTCCCCAAGAGGCCCCCAAGAGGCCCTAAAGAGGGCTCCAGGGCCTGGCCATCGCTCAGACGTCCATTCCCTGCTTTCTTCGGTGTCGTGCGTGGCTTCTTCGCCAAATGATCCAGGATACTCCTCGACGGTCCTCGCCGAAGGAAAAGTGCACGCGTCCGAGCGATGCCAAGGGGCCATCACCCCCCTCTCCCCCGAACCTCGGCCAAGGGCGGCTTGGAGCGCGACAGGGGCGTTCTCGGGGCTGCCCGCGCCGCTCGGGGAGCCTCGCTGGCCGGCCAAGAGGCTCTGAGGAAGCCGCCTTTGGGGGCGGCGCGGGGCCGAGGTGGGCAGGGGGCCCCGCAGCTCCCGGGAGGCCGTTGCCGCCCCCGCCAACCTCCAGCAGATGAAGGGGCCCTGGGACACACTGGGACACACAAGTAAATGAGCACAAATGACAGGATTCCCCACATCCTCCCATATTTTCGGAGCTTCCTTCTGTCTCCCCCCCACTGCCCACAGTTTCCCATATTTTCCTGGGAGTCGACGATTACTTGTGTCTGTGTGTTTCCTTCCCTCCAGCATATGGTCGGACATCTGAGCGCGCGGCTTCCGGCCGGCGCTGCGCGGGGCTGCCCGCAGCGCAGGCGGGCCCCTGGCTCTCCCTGTGTGCCGCACGCCTATCTGCCGCACGCCTGCCTGGACCGAGGCGTCCCCTCCTCCTGGGCAGGATGCAAGGCGACTGGCGCGCCCCGTCCTCCTGCTCATCCTGCTCCTCCTCCTGCTCCCCCTCCTCCTCCTCCTCCCCCTCCTCCTCCTCCTCCCCCTCCTCCTCCTCCTCCTCCTCCTCCTCCTCCTCCTCCTCCTCCTCCTCCTCCTCCTCCTCCACCACCTCCTCCTCCTCCTCCTCCTCCTCCACCTCCTCCTCCTTCATCTCCTCCTCATCGTTCCCCTCCTCCTCCTTCTCCTCCTTCACCTCCTCCTTCTCCTCCTCCTCCTCCTCCTCCTCCTCCTCCTCCTGGTGTCCTGGCGACAGCCGGGGGGGCAGCGCGTCTGATAACAACGTCAGCTTGCAATGAGCCAATGATTCCCCCCCCTGGTGCCGGAAGGGGTCCCCGGCGCCAGGCCCGAGGCGTCCCCAGGGGAGTTCGCAGCATTCTTCAGCATTCTTCGGCGGCCTCCACAGGGGAGGAGGGCGCGAGGGGGGGCTCCGCGGGAGGAAGGGGGGGCTCGCAGAAAGCCCTGGGGAGATGTTCACAAGAAGGCTCCTTCTGGGGACCTCATTCTGGAGCCTCGGCTGCTCATTCTGGGGACCTCCCTGGAGCCACTCGCTCCGCTCGTGCGTCGAAGCTGCGCCGAACGTCCGTCGATTCGAGCCGACCTCGAGTCGAACCTGAGTCGAACCTGAGTCGAATTTGAGTCAAACTTGGGTCGAACTGAGGTCGAACTAGAGTCGCACCGATCCGTCCGGTGGGCCCCAAGGAGGTCCCCCCAACCAAGCACCCGAGAGGCCCGGCAGGCTTCCGAACAGCCCTCCCTGGCCTCCTCAGTAGCGCCGCCCACCTTCCTGGAAGTCCGCCCCACCCTCGTGCCACCCCCGTGTGGGCGCCGCCAGACGCTGGAGCCCCATCCGGTGCAGTGACAGACCGTGCGGTGACTCGGGGGGCGGGTGGTATTGGGGGACCTGAATGGGGGGTGATGGGGCGCACGATGACATACTAGTACTATCTGTCCTCCTCGGAGGCGCGCGTGCGACCCGAACATATTGTGTACCAATCTTGTAGTTTATCGTTTCCCGAGCGGTGTGGCCAGAAAGCGCCCGCCACGACGCATGTACTAGAAGATTTCTCGGTGCGCGCGTCGCCCCTGGGGAGGCGACGCACACATAGTATTTGATGGGCCTGCTTTCCACCACCACCACCACAAGTTGGAGGGGGGAAGGAGGAGGACGACGGGGAAGAGGAGGACGAAGAGGAGGAGGAGGAGGAGGAGGAGGAGGAGGAGAACGAGGAGGAGGAGGACCCCGTCCCTCCTCCTCCTCCTCCTCCTCCTCCTCCTCCTCCTCCTCCTCCTCCTCCTCCTCTTCGTCCTCCTCTTCCCCGTCGTCCTCCTCCTTCCCCCCTCCAACTTGTGGTGGTGGTGGTGGAAAGCAGGCCCCTCAGTGTTGGTATGCTGGAGCGACGCCGCAGAAAAAAGGGGCTCTCTCAAGGGGCACCCCGGGCCCCCACCTGGAGCCCGCAGGGGCCCACGAGGTGCCCCCACGTGCCCCTTTTGAGAGAGCCCTCTGCGCCCCCCCATTCTTCGAGTACAGTCGGGGGCGTTCTTCGAGCATGGCACCGACTACAGGATTGACTTGCCCCAGAGCTGATCTCTCCGATCGGATCTACGACGAACGCGTAGAAAGTTCGCAACTACACGAGGTGTCCCCACGTGCCCCTCTTGAGAGCGCCCTCCGCGTCCCCCCCATCCTTCGAGTGCAGTCGGGGGCTTGACCCAAGGAGCCCAAAATAAGGAACGAGGCCCCTTTTTTCCATGAGTTAAACTTCGGTTTCCGATCGAAAACATAAGGAAAACCTGAGGCAAACTGCGAAACACTTAAGGAACGCGGAGCCCCTCCCCAACGAAAAGGGTTCCTTCTTCAGGGCCCCGACTGTAGGGCATCGACTACAGAATTGACTTGCCCCAGCGTTGATTTCTCCGATCGGATCTACGACGAACACGTAGAAAGTTCGCGACTACACGGAGAACGTTGTGAGTTTTCAACATGGATTCGACGAGAAGATGGATTCAGATGAGGTAAATCAATTCTGTGGTACAGTCAACCCGCATAGTAAGGATGCGCGATAAGGATGCAAGGGCCTTGGACGCCCATTTCGAACCTTTTCGAGCGGGGCGCGGCCAACGAAATTGGCCAACGATGGGCCGAGGAGGCAAGGATGTAAGGGTAGCCTTGGGAAGGTTGCCCATCCTTCCTATGCGGCTTGACTGTAGATCCCCCGCTCGAACTCTGGGATCCCCCCTCCCACATCCGCCCGCCCGAGTGCCCTCGGCAGTCCCAAAGAGACCTCCCTGCACGGCCCGCCCCCCCCCCCCCCCCCCCCCACAAACTCTCGTCAAGGGGCCCCGTCGCCCCGGGGGACTGGCCCGGCGACGGCCCGGGTCCCCAGGCCGTGCGGGCAGCCTCGCACCTCTGCCGCACGGCATGGTCACCGCGCCGGGGCCCTCTGGGCCTCGCGAAGGGTGCTCTGGAGGCCTGCCTGCCAACCACGGATGATCATGCCAGCGCCGAGGCAGAAGATGAACCGCCGAGGAGCTGCGCCCCCTTCCCAACGTGACCACGCCCACTGTCGTCAGCACCACATCGCGCTCGCGAACACGGCGTCATCCCCGCGGGGGAGCCGCGTACGTTCTGGGGGGGGCATGCTGGGCGACCCCACTCTCCAAGATAGTCGCCGACTCCCGCTACCCCATCCCTGGCGGTGCGCGGCTCCATGTCGGGCGGCGAGACCAGGAGCTTGCGCCCACGAAGCCGCTCGTAGATAGCCTCCTGTGTGGAGGGGAGGCGCTCTGCGGGCTCCCTCGAATATCGACGTAACAAGGATACGTCGACCCCCATGCCAAGCTTCGTGGGCTTTTCGGATGGACCGGACATTTGGGGCCCAACGCTGCGATATACGATGGGAGTGCGTCTATGTCTATCCTCGATAGAGGTGCGTCCGCACACCCGCCTTGGGGTGCATCCCAGAATGTCCCTCTTTTTCTGAGTGGCCAGACTTTTCGGATGGAACCCAGTGATTGCAGAAGACGCATCGCCTTCGACAACAGGCTGCCTGAAGGCCGCAAAGACGTGCGCGCCAAAAGACAGCCCAGGTTACCCAACTTCGCGCATCGCGCCCCGCGACTCGCGCGACCGCCTCCGCGCCGTCGCTCCGCCCTCCTGGAGAGAGAGAGAGAGAGAAACCGCTCTTACCCAAATTGAGACGCCACCGAGACGGATCAGGCCCAGGATGAGGCCGGACTATACGGGATTCAGCAGCACCGGGCGGGATTGTACCACTGGATCGACCATGGCGCAACAGCTCCGATGCTCGGGGGCACGCATACACGGATTAGCGGTCTGTGGACTCCGCGCGCGGCCGCCAGATCCATGGATCGGGGGAAGCGCCCTCCCCCCAGTGCGGCACGTTTGCACCCTCGCCCGGTGGCAATAGTCCGCGGGCCCCCATGGACACGGGGCCCGCCGCTGATCCACGCCCCCAACGGAATCCATGCTTGCGATCGCCTGATGGCTGCAGCCTCTCACAAGGGCTCCCAACTTCGCGCTTCGCGCTGCGCGAAGCGCGAAGCGCGAATAACTTCGCGCTCTCGCGCCGCCCTCCCAAAGGGAGAAGAGGAGGACGAGGAGGAGGGGGAGAAGGAACGAGGACCGCGAAGCGCGAATAACTTCGCGCCCTCGAGGGCGCCCTTGCTCTCAGGAGTTGCAGCCCGGCGAGCGGCCCCCCGAGGCGCCCGAGGGCCCGAGGGCCGCCCCGCTGGCGCTGCAGGACCCGCGGCCTCCGGGGACCTCTGCGGAGAAGCCTCCGCGGGGCGGTGGTCTCGTCGCTCGCGGGCCGCTCGCAGGCCCGGGGGCCGTTCCAAAGGCTGCCCGCGACGAGGATCGGGCGTTGCTAGAAGTACCCCTGGCCAAAGCTGCCCCCAGGGGAGGAGGAGGAGGAAGAGGAGGAGGAGGAGGAGGAGGAGGAGGAGGAGGAAGCGGAGGAGGAGGAGGAGGAGGCGGAGGAGGAGGAGGAGGAGGAAGAGGAGGAGGAGGAGGAGGAGGAGGAGAAGAAGGCTCCTCGCTCCACTTTGAAGCCCCTGGGGCCTCTGGGCCTCGTGGTGGGTGCTCTGGAGGCCGCTCGGGCTGCCCGGGGAATTCTGGGGGCACCTTGGCCCAAGGGCACCTCTAGCAACACCCGAGCAAAGCACGTCCCCGAGATGGGTCACGAGAGCGCCAGAGACGAGGAATCGGCCACCACGTCGGAAGTGCTGCGGTTCTTCACTTCCTGCTCCTCCTTCGCCTCGGCCGTGTCGCCCCGAGGCGATGCCGCGTGGCGCACACGTCAGATAACGTAGCTCCTCCCTCCTCTTTCCTGCACTCGTTGCACTTGCGTGGTGATCGGACTGCTGGCCATTCTTCAGCATGTCACGACCATGGTTCCTTTGACAGCGGGGCAGTGCAATTCGCTGCACGCGAGCTCGGTCGATCGCGTGGAGGATATACTCTCTCGGACGGCAAATGTCGATGGCTCTGTGTAAGGGACCAAGCAGAAGGTGGCGCTGGGCACTCGGCTTCTCGGCGAGTGATTCGAGGGCGGCACCCGATTGATGCGGGATGGGCGGCTTCTCCTTTGGTGACGTCGTCTGCTGGGTGTTCTATTGTATGGGGATCTCGGATTACAACTGGTTGTACGATACAATGTGGATCTGCACCCTCGCCTGTGCAGAGACGCGGCTTGCTGTCGCGCGTAAAAACGGGCCTTCTGGAAACCACGGCGGTATCCTTGTACGTCCCTCCGCGGCCGACGGAAATAGCGGAGGTGGCGAGGTACGGGACTACCGTCAACTAGTTGCTGCAGTGGCTCGGCGAGAAGCTGGCTCGACGTCCTGCACGTACCACCCCAGTGACATGAGTCGACTTGAACGACGGCGTTGGTCTTGTCCAGTGCGATGGTGCGTGGCAGGAAGACGAACTTGTCGTTGTATCTCGTGAGGCTGCTACGCGTAGTCATGTTGCTGGAAATGGGTTTGCACAAATCGTGTCCTTGCATGGTCTACCAATAGCCAATGCATAACGTGGCTGTTCATCCACCTTCGTTTGATCGAGTAGGCGGTGAATCGTTCATCGATATGAGTGCCTTTCCGATGGAATGTGGTTTCTTACGAGTGCTGGGCCACTGGCGATTAGTCGAAACATTCAACTGAATCGCACAAAACGTGTGGCTGATCATGTGCTGGTGCACGCTGCCTCTGTGTTCGCCCTCCTGGTGGTAGTTGTCGTATTGCTCCTAATCTTGTGTCTTGGGATATGGACTCGCTCTTGCGTGACATTAGGGGAGGAGGGCGTCGTCAAGAGTGGATTCTGGCCGTGGAATCTCGCATTGAACGTGATTCGGATCGAGTTCTCCGGTTTCAACAACTTGGTCCTGCAGATCAGTTGCTCGATTCCACATTCATTGTACGATGTTGGAATAATGTGTTTGTTTTAACTCGGAGCCGCCTGCGCAACGGGCTCGACGAGTCCACACACAGATGAACGAGAACGGCTTCTGGAACGGCGTCGTGAGCTTCGTATGTGTTTAGCTGGCTCTTTCACGGCGTGTCATAATCATCGGGCTCATGAGCGGCGTCTGTTTCAAACGGAACTTGTGGAGGAGGCGGGGACGATGTGGAGACATGGGAGGATGGCCGAGGTTACTCGAATACTTCGACGGGAGACTGGGTCCCAATTCGAGCCAATAAACGCGATCGGAGCGGTGAGGGGAGTTGTGGAGTCTAGCGGTGACCTCTGTACGAAGTTCGCGAAAGCAGGGCCCGCAGGGGGGATGCCTGCTGGGAAGATTCTGGATTGGAACGAGTATCGGGAAACTTTGATCGAAGACGTTCCATTTCGTGAGATCTCCAGACAAGGCCTCCTAGAAGCTGGCCGTGATGTGCGTTGAGTTCGGTATGGGCTCCGTAGGGTAGAGAAACGCAGGGCCGTTCCTAAATGGGCTCCCCCATACAGCTTTGATGGATGCTGCTTCAACCGGATCACGATGTCTCGTATGGCGGGCAAGGAATCAGAGTTTCCCAAGGTGAGGTGCGCGCTCCTCTTTGTTTTGACCTTGTCGACAGAGGTTTTGCCAGAAATTGTGCTTGTGGACAGGGGCCAGATAGGTGGCATCGCAAGAGGGGTGCACCTCTGCCTCGTAAACACGGGCGTGCTAGGCGGGCAAATCTGGCCGATCCGATTGGTAAGCAGTGGGTTGCACAATGTATGAATATTCGGGGATCCGGTAGCTACTCATATCTGAATCACGGGTTTATTTCACGGCATCGGCGGGAGGAGGCAATTATGATCCAAAGCATCACACAACGCACTTTGAATCAGCTTGGGTGGTCTCACAGCACCAACGCGCACGACATAGCGAATGCGTTTGCTCGTACTGTCCGACCATCTATGATGGCAGCTCTTCCAAACATGTTTTACGAGGACCTGGATGGCTTCGGCGCTCAACGAGTCTGCTGTGCTACGCTCATTCTTGCGGGGCACGGCGCTGATTGATCCTTCGACCTGGGTGTGGAGGTTGCATGGGTAATGCGTACGCACTGCGCTCTTTTGTGCTGAGTATCGTTTCACCGATCACCATCCCCAGCGGCGTTGCCCGAGCCCCACTGGCCGATGTACCCCCATAGATTGGGATACATGCTGTTCCCTTCGGGTTTCGAGGGGTGTATCCCCAACTGGGCTGGTAATTTGGTGGGGGTCTCGAAGGGGATGGGGATGGGGATGGGTTAAACGATACCGATGTACATACATTTTTTCCCGCAGAAGAGGCTTGGCAACCTGAGCAGTGCAAGCGGGGTCCCAAGAGTCGTGCTCTTGAGGCCCGTCATCCGTTCTCGGAGGAGTTGCTAGACTCAGGTCGGGCCTGTCCCAAACAAAAATACAATCAAATATTCGAACATGGTAAACACTGTATCCCCAGACTATTGTTTGACTATGTTTGAACATCCCCCCTGTAGAGGGACAGGCCCGACTTGATGCTAGACCTATCCTTAACAGAGCATGCGGACGAGTTGACTAAGAAGCGAGCGCCAGGGTCGCACTACGTCGGCCGCCGAACTCGTCGTTCTTGGTGAGGCCTCGAATCGGAACTTGGACGCGGCACTCGAACCCAGGGGGTACCACCTGATAATGAAAAAGCGCCAGTGGATCACTTCGTAATCGAAAAGGGGGGGGAGGTGCTCCAAGAACCCCTCCCCCTTCCCCCCTTTCAAGGGGGGGGACATGCTCGGGCCCCCCCCCTTGGCGCTGGAGACGGGGGGGGCGATTTCGGACCCCCCCCCTCCCCCACTTTGGCCAGGCAGGGGGGGGGGCAGGTGGGGAGGCTCGGTCAGCTCCCGAACGCAGGAGGCTGGGGTCAAGGTGGTGGTTAGGGTAGAGGTCAGGGTTTAGAATAGGGGTTAGGGTAGTGTTTAGGGGTTTGGGTTCGGGTTTAGGGTTAGGTTCGGGTTTAGGGGTTGGGGTTAGGGCATAGGGTTGGGGTTAGGGATTAGGGTCATGATTAGGGGTGGGACTAGGGGTTAGGGATCAGGTTAGGGTTAGGGTTTAGGGTAGGGGTTAGGGTTAGGGTTAGGGGTTAGGGTAGGGGTTAGGGCAGGGCTGAGGGTCAGGGTTAGGGTCTAGGGGGTTGGACTTGGGCTTAGGGTAAGGGTTAGGCATTAGGGTCAGGGTTAGGGGTTAGGGTAGGGTTTAGGGTTTGGGCTAAAGTTAGGCGTAAGGGGTTGGGTTCGGGTTTAGGGTAG